ACGTGCGTGAATCCGCGCGGATATATGACGTCAGGATGGCGCAATTTGTTCTAAAAATAGAAAAATTGTCCCATATCATAGGTGCGCGCGAATCCCGACACTTACGGTCTCCGTCCCCGATTATGGCTCCTGATCCAAACTTCTTCTTAGTTTAAGCCTTAAACTTTTGCACGTAAAACATCATTTATTACCAACCTTAAATAAGCAACATTTTATAATCATTTATGTCAACGTAAAAAAAAGTTTTCGAGTGACTCCAGGGATAGTGGAGCGTATTTTGAATTGGGGGGGGGGGGGGGGGGGGGGTCTTGGAAAAATTCCCTTCTGTGGGGGAAGTATGGATATTTTCTGGAACTACACATTACTGTGTTTCAAAACAATATCTTTTCACAAAAATGTTTTAACACGAGATTCATACATCAATAAGAAATATAGGTGAGAGGGTACTGTAGACAGTGGATGGTCAGAGTCTTTTTCGCAAAGAGTTTTAGAGGAAGCAAGAAAACGTGCACTATNGACTTACAATCGAGCGCCAGAGGCGCTAACTTGTAGGGGGTGTGGAGATATTTGTAAAATTATTTTATGTATGTAAAGCCCCTCCCCCGCCCCCCTCCCAGCACCCCCAGCTCCGCCGTCCCTGGCCTCATTTTTGAAAGAAGTCTTCTATCAACAGGTGTTAAGCTCTTCTCTTTTTGTTTCATGAAAACTGTTCATGTGAAAGTGAGTTTGATTTACATCTTCACAAACATGACACCGTAAAAATAGTCCACTAATTTCCGGGGCGGCCCAAAATTTCACGACAGGTTTCTGCAAACCTTTCATTTCAACGTGAGTGTAATATTAGCACGAGATGGAATGATTATTCTCGTTTAATTTGGAATAAATAAGCATTCAGTTGTATATTCTTCAAACAACGCTCGTTTTGCAAGGCTTTGAAAAATTTACTCCATTTTCAATTTCAAATTGCACTCGAAAGCATGTGATTATCATTATTCAATGCTTCAGTAAGTTATTGACTTCAAGTTTATATTCTCGAGAAGGACTTCCCCTCACTCCTTGTTGAACATTGAAGGACACTCGCGTTCTTGCGACACCAAACGACCGTCAGGTTTAAAAACTTCTGATCGGGTTCCTTTTTTCAGAGAAGACGAGAAGACAAGCTAAGGAGTTATTATATTTCTTGTACTTCCGGCGTCGTTGTTGATCTACCAGGAAGCCTAACTAAAAGTGTTTATTTTCTAATGGTCAAGATGATCGCAAGTTATATAACTATCGCGTGGCTTTTAACTACTACAGCAATCATTGGAAATGGGCTCGTCACTTATCTGATCGTCATTAAAAAACACCTTCAGACATCCACAAACTGGTTTGTTTTGTCACTCGCTGTAGCTGATTTCTCCTTTGCTCTTTGTTTCTTTCCCGTCGCATATTTCTGTGAGAAAGCTCTCTCGTGTGAGACCGACCTTCGAGGAATCATGTCGTGGCAGTTTGCATTTATCTCCATCGCGAACCTTTGCATCATGGCAGCGGACCGATATAGCGCTATCGTAATTCCGTTTAAGTACGTTAGGTTCATGAACACAAGACGGGTTTTCTTGCTAATTCAGCAGCTAACCCTTTTCCGTATGCCTTTGTTAAGATGTTTAAATTTCATATAGCCGGGTCATAAAACGAGCTGTCTCAATGTATCCGTCTCCTTTTTTACACGCGAACGAACAAAACTACCTTACATGTATGAGGAAGGGAAGTAGAGAACCTCAAAAATATAATTTACTATGAAAAACATATACTGACGGCCAAAAGGGCGAAGCTAAATCAAAATGGAACATGGAAGTTTGGAATTGAAGGATCATTTAAGACGAAAAAATACCAAAAAAAAAAACAAGAATCTGATGTAGGTAGAGTTTCAAACCGGCGTTCACATGATTCATTTCAAAATCACTCTTTTTCCGAGTTATTAGCGAAGTTTACTCAATACAACCTGTATATATGTTTTATTTAAACAACGAAGCTTTGAAAAACCCGCCTATTGTTTTTCAAACGAGGCAAAACGCACTCGATGTGAAATTAGGTAGTCCAATATGCTAATTATTCTACTTGCAAGGTGTGTGAGATAGTTAAGGAACATTTCACAACATTGAGTACATTATTTCTAACAGCAGATTGTACAGCTTAGTTTGCAAATATATTTATATATCAGACAAAAAGAAAAGATGCGAAAGGTGTCCCTTAAGTAAACAGAGTCTCGTTTAATTTTGCACTGTGAGCTGGACCAGAAGCATATCACCTATCTAGGTGATATGCTTCTGGCTGGACTGATTAAACTTTTTTTCATTTGATTTCAAGTGACTGATAACTATTGAATCACTCATGCTCACGGCTTTGTTCGGAAGTTGGAGCGCGCAATTTCTTTAACATTTTAGAAAAGGAAATTACAAACTTTTGAATTACACAAGCACTTAATGCGGATTTTTAAAACACTCGAGAACTGTGCCAGGAACACTCGTTCAGCCTTGTGCATCTCTATGCACTTATGTCATGTTCTTGATCATTCTTGGGTGTCTAACCCGACAGCAGACTCGTACCCTGTCGCTATTAACTGACGGGTTCGAGAACGATTTCTATCCACGTGGAACGGCTTCAAAGGTCTTCAAATGACAGACGCGCATCGTCGAAAGCTAAACGAGTCAATTTTGAAACGTTAGCACGTTTTTTAAATACACAATTTAAAGTACACGAAAGTTTTAAGAACACTTGGCGATAAATCACGAAACATCTTGACAAAGACAGATTAAATTTTCGCGGGCCGTACACTAGAATACGGCCCTCTAAATTGACCAATCACAGCGCGCGTAGTAATTATTGGATGAGGTTTTTGTGATATCCAGAGTAATCAAGGTCGAGGTATAATCAAGGTCTCTTACCGAGACCTTGATTATTCTGGATAAAACCCGAAATCACAAAACCCGAATCAAGTAATTGTTTTAATATACATTGAACGACAAAAACTGGGAGTCATGTTTTTGTTTCTTCACTGACGGCAAGCAACACAAAGCGCGCGAACTTGACATGATTACCCTTAGAAATCATGCACCGCAGTCATACATGACGTGATTACCCATGACCTTGAGTGTCCTTGACATGATTATTGTATAATCTGCAGCTATATGACGTCACAGGCGCTGATTTCGAAAATTCACTGTACGCTTTCGGCCAATCAGAAAAGAGATAATGAGTTCAATGTATAATGATATTCAGTACCCAACCCGCAAAGGCGCTTCGAAATTCCTTCAATTTGCCGGCAAATGCAACATGAACAACTATTTCCACATCTAAAATCTTTTTGCCCCTTCCCCCATTATTTCATCACCCCCACCCCCAGACCATAAATAATGAACACTCTCTAAAATAGGAACGTTTCAGTTCCCGGTTTCTCTTCCGCGTCACTATACCAAGGAGTTCCGAAGTGTCTTACAACATAGAGGCTGGAGAAATTATTTGCCAAAAGAGGTTGTTTGTGGACTGAGAGAAGCACAAACAAACAAACAAACCATTTCCGTCGAACCGTTAAGGGGAGAGTTTCACGATTCGGCCCATGGCCAAGTGAGAAAATAAACTGGAACTTTTCGATTTCCCTCTCAGTGAATGAAGTGAAGTGAAAGACTTTATTTAATGAGGGTGACCCGTGACAGTAACTTAAGTTACTGATAAACTTGGGGCCCTCAGCTTAAAATAATTAGAATTATGCTAAAAATATATTATTTACAATAAAATGCTAAAATACGATATTATTTACAATAAAATACTTAATTAAGTTACTATTAAAAATGTTACAAATAATAAACTGGACTTGCAAATCTAATAGTTCAGCAATCACAGACTAAAATTCATTTGGTTAAGGGAAACGGCTGAGACCTAAATTTTGCTGAAGATATCGACGGATTTACATAGAAGCTCGTAGAAAGTGCCAAATTTAGTATTGAATATCGTATTTGTTATTCGGGCCAAAGGATTTACACTGGACACACGTACGAGTTAGCTGCTCGCATCCCATTGGTTCATAAGCAATGGAATTGAATGGTGCTTGGGAGTCGGTACATACAAAAGGAATTCTAAGAATTGATTGCAGCGTTTTCACGACTGAACCGCGAGACTTTGAAAGAAAAATGTACCACAAAAACCATCAGCTTGCTTTTGATTGTTTCATGAACTCATTGGATGGAATCGAATGGGTCAGTCACAACTCACACATGGGCCAAGCCGTTAAACCAGAACATTGTATTGGAAGCGCTAAAAATATATTCAAAAAAAAAAAAACATGAGTCGCCGAACGTACCTGGGTATTTAACGTTCATGGACCGAGACAATAACAAACAAGTGACATAAATAAACAAACTATTTAGTTATTTCAGCCCACTAGTAAGTGCTCAAAATACAAACTAAAAACAGAAGTTTAAGAGTACGATGCGACAAAGTTCACGTTATCAAACGTTCATGTTATTTCGAAGGGAAGCCTCACTAAGCTGCAGACGCTAAATATATACCATTCATGGCCAGCCGTCTACGCTCTCCATAGTTACAGCAATGTTACTTCTTATCGGCAAGGAAGCCTGAATATTCCATCCTTATTATGGTTTCTCTTTAAGCTTCGTCGCCACTGCCTACTATGCGCGCATTTCCTTCTAACGACGGGGACTTCTGTAATATTATTTCGTGCAGTAAAAATGGAAATGATTAGATCGAACATTTGATTGAGCGAACTATACACACATTAAGTCAAGCAATTTCCTATACACGGCAAAATACACCTGCACGATCCAGTAATTGCCATGACATTTAAATATTCGCCATTGCCCCTAAGAATAACATTCGGTTACTCGGAGGCCAGAAAAAAAAAAACAGCACGCCAAACAAAGTCGTTACGGAAAAAAGAAAGAGAAAAAGGCGTGACAGTGCAGGCCCAAATTCCAAGCACAGTTCTGCCAAGAGATGTGACTAACGCCTTATTTGTTTGGTTTTGTTTTGGATTTTTCTTTTTCTTAAGGAGTGAAGGGGCCTGAAGCAAGTCAAAAACTCGCACCTGCACGGCTCGCCTGCCGGAAGAGCACCTCTGAAACAAATGCATCCTTACAGCTTTACCCTAGAACTGTACATTGCCTTTTTCGGTTGTTCTGCTTAATATCTGTTATCGCAGTTGAATCTGCAGTGTAATATTCTTTTGTCGAAAAAGGCATACAAATGAAGCGGAAAGGTCAATATACAATGCAGAACAAGCGACCCTTTCGCCTCGTTTGTATGTCAAGCCGCAGAAAACAGCTGTTAGCATGAGAAAGCGGTATTTTCTTTGCTATCTCCCACGTGTTTAGAAACAATCAAATCTTCATGTGCTAATTCTTTCTGGCGATGAAAAATTCAACTAATTTTTTAAATGCAGGAAAATATCAAAAGACAACGTAGATCGACACCCCCGCCATCAAACATATGACTTTAAAAAGGTCGAAAGTGAACTGTTTAGAAGCCCTCCAAAAAGCGATCCTCTGCCGGCCGGCCTTTTTTGTGGTTACATCTTTTTGTTCAAAGCAGTTGATGCGTCATAAATTCACATAGCAACCACGAAGCCTTACCAAAGAACATTTGTTAAACGTTTTGCTTCTATTTCATAGAGTAATCAACGTTTACCACAGTAAGCGGTATTAGACGCCCTCTAGTCCGACCATATGTCTCTCACAGCTTTGAAATCATCCGGTTTTTATTGTTTCACGCCGTTTGGTATTTGCCACAGTTCGTCAAATGCTCTTCACTGCTGAATCGTTTTAAACGATGATCAGCTCATAAAAGGGTTAAAAATATGTTTGAATCAAACACGTAAATTAAAATAGCCGGCTACAGGTTGTGTCTTCAAAACCACCGCAATTATCTCCGGTAACTACATGCGTGAAAACACATGGTTAAATACAATCAGTATTGTAAATCCGTACGGGTAATGTAGTTGGCGAAACACGTTATTTTAGCATAATTGTTTTGCAAGTTGATCAGTAAGGATGCATCTTCGCCATTGATACGGTTTTGCTCACAGCGTTGCAATTAAGGAAAAGTACATCGACGTAGTCCAATATAACTTCGAAACACGTGGCTAAATACAATCAGTATTGTGAATTCGTAAGGTAATGTAGCTGGCTATGAAAACATTATTTAGCACGTTTGCTTTACAATTGACTTGAAGCATGCATCGCCGGTATTGACACGTTTTTATTCACAGTGTTGCAAGGAAAAGTACATCGACGCTGTCCAAGTTTTCTAACTCACTGATTTCACCTTAATCTCATTCTTTCCCCTCCTCCCCTTCCATTTCTCCAGTCTTTGGTGTTTTTTTATTTGTAAGTAAAACTTTGTTTCTGATGCTTCAGTCGATTTTTCTTCTCTTTTTAATACCAGTATGTTATGACACATCGACACAAAGTCCTTTAAAGTTCATTAAACGGCCATGTTTATTTGTTTTAAATGATAACAACTATAAACTAAAAACTTAATGCTTTTCAAAATAATCACAGCATGACACATATCTCTTGTCACAGTTTGGGTCCAGAATATATTTTTTTTTTCCCTCAATTTTACCTCGATTCATTTTCGCTAGTTAATACCTCCTTTTCAGGCCAATAAAACAGCAATCCGAGCACGTCGCGAAAAAGAAAAAATATACAATTGCCTCCCGTATAAATATACCGGTCTACCTCAACTTCCGGAACGTTTGATTGGATTAAAAAAATGTTAGGCCTACTTGTGTTCCTAAAACATCGTCGAGGGTTGTGGCCCGTCAGTTGACACTATTTTCGGCTATTTAACGGGATTAAATCGAAATCATTGGGGAACTGTAAGATTGACGGCCATTTAAGGCGAGTAAAGACTGTTTAGTTGGACGGGACATGTTTGCAACGTTTATCCAAAAATGTTTACAAAACTTCTTCAAAAGCAAGATCACTCGATGAATTATTTATTTTTAAGGTTTTCAGCAGCTCTCTTTTAAAATCTCTTTTCATCAGTCCGTAAGCTACCGGATTTGCTGCAGAGTTTGTCAAAATAAGAATAGAAGATGTCACCAACACAGATTCAGGTGGCTGCTGATGGCCAAACACAGACGCGATCCTGACACTTACACCGAACACGTAACAGACCAAGAACATAACTACCACAGAAACGATAAGTCTGGTGGACGAAATCTCTTTCTCCGGGTCCAACTGCCTGTTTCTTCTCAAACCCGAATAATTGAAATCTAGCTGGGCCATGACAGCGGACCGTTCAAGACGACATCTTCGAACTATCAGCAAAATTCGAACAATGGCTAAAGGCAGGAAGACGAATGGCGTAATTCCGTAGACAAACAATGTGGCAAAGGTGAACACTTTCCAAGAAATGGCTTTGTTTGCCGGCGACGTAGCGGAGTAGGTCCACGATAATGGCAAAAGTGCTGTGACTATTGGAATACACCAGGTTGCAGATATCGCTAACAAAGTTCTTCTTCTGGTCATAACAGTCAGATACTTCAACGGCTTCACGATCGCGATGTAACGATCTACTGTCATGAGGCAAAGGTTCGTGACAGAGGCGCAGAGGAACACGTCAACACATAGCCACTGGATATGCCTCTTGTAGCACGGTTCGCTTTTACAGGCCCTTTGGTACGGGAAAAATGTTGCTCCTACAAAAAAATCCGCCACGGCCAGAGATAAGACGAACCAATTTGCTGTGGAGTTGAGACGCCGCCTGAAGATGACTAAATATATGACGAGACCGTTTCCAACGATCGCAGATGCCGTCAAGACCCAATGAAGCACAACGTTAAAGGTCTCTTCCCACTGCTCCATATTTGCCAAGGCTTCGTTGCACCGCTGCTTTTGTGTCGATCTTGGTTGATGATAATTCTGGAGGGCCACGTCTTATTAAAAAAACATTAAATAAAACTGGCTTTCGAATTTACTGGGATGTTCTGGCAACTAATGGGGTGAATAAAATTAAATTGAAATCGTAATCAAAAAATAAAAGGGGGCCGCTCTTCTGCCATTCAGTACCAGGTGAAACTCTGCTAGCGTCCGTCTTCTTTTCAGAACAACTGCAATTATTTGCTGCCTTTGAGAAAAGCGACTTAGCATTCGAATAGTTCATGTTTGTGATGCACGCCCCCTTTATAGCTGATATCCTGAATTATTATTTCAAGTCCGCGCTAATTTTAGACAGCCAATAAAATCCCTCGCTCAACCCCTTGCTGAGTTAGTCATGCCTGCGGTAATTTACTTCATTTTTTCTTAAACTAATCAGTTGCTAGGGTCATGTGTGGCTAATGCGTTCATCTATGCCTTAGCAAACTACCTATTTTAAAAGCTAGACCACAACAACAATCACAACCAAACATCAGGTTAAAAATGAACGAGAACTACAGAAAGATGTTGTCTTCAACACAGGAAGTAGGATGTTTTTCTTTCTTTAAGTAATCAATGCTTGCGGTAATCGAATACATGTTTGGCTATAGTTCGACGGCGAGCCAAACTTTTGGCACAATTTAAAGCTTGAATAGTGACGTCGGTATGAAACACAATATTGTTATACATATATACAATTTGTATAAAAGGTCTTCTTTCGTTGCTTATTTCATAAGTTTTGTCTTTGCTTAAGTATTTTAATGATCACACGAGACACCTCGTCTTCGTCTTGGCATTGATGACTTCGGATTAACGTTATAAAGTTCCTTCCAGTCGAAAACATCTCTTAAGCGCAAGAAACCAAACTGAGCTTTATTTTATGGTCTCAGATAAAACCCTTTTGACAAGTTGGGTATCACAAGGGCGCTGCACGAGAACTTTTCTTTGAACTACCTACAAAAATTAGTATGTACCACTCAGGTCATGAATAGTGTTTTTAACACGTTCTGATTGGTTAACTTGGAACAGAAGGTGATTAGCGAAGTACTATTCCGGTCTATTCCCTTCCGAGCAGCCGAAGAAAACCAAAATGGCTTATTGTCAGGTTATTTGGTCCGTTACTTACTCTGCTTTTGTGGTATACACTGATGCAACAATTATTCACCTCAGTGTCGGTGAAAGTGGTGGATATTTACCTCCATTTCGGTGAACAATTGTCAACTAAAACTTTCATTCGCACCGGACATGCGCACAAGAATACAAAATAATTGACAAACAAGAGACAAGCCAATCTAAAATGAACACTTTTAAAATTATTAAATGGAATTAAAAAGTTAGTTAGCTGTCACTACCTTATCCTTTTGAAGAAAAACAGTCATTTGCGGGCGATGAACAAATGATACAAGGACTTTAAAGAAAGGAAAGAAAAGGCATCTTCACGATCTAAAGATGAACTGTTTTTTATCATCGTAAGAAGTAGCTGTATACCCACAAGTATACGTTTACGTCTATAAATGCATTCTATCTCATTCCCACGCAGACGTGCAGAGATCGTTTGGCAGATCTTTTACGCTTGTCAAAAAGGCGACGATAAATGGTATCGTCAACACCCAAAGATCAAGCACACTAGGATGCTTGGAAACGACACTGACAGACGCTGGGCAGGCGTTAATTTTACTGAAGCGAACTCAGCATTTACTGTCCTTTCTTTCATACTGTCGTCACGTTTACATATATACAACCTTTATTTATACACGATAAAAGACGTCAAAGCTAACAAGCTTGTGGGGTCGTGTACTAATAAGATACATAAAATGTATTCCAAGATACATAAAATGTATTACAAATGTATTCCACTCTAGAAAGCGAAATTTTGATGTCGTTTGAGTGTGGCCGAAAACCCTAAAAGCATAAAACCTGAGTTGGCAGACGTTAACGTGCACGTGCACGTTCAGTATGGACGTAGCGAAGATCATGACAGTTCCACCACCCTCGAAAACTCAGGAGCAGATAACAGAGACGACTCAAAGGCGAAGCTCACGATAACAATCGAATAAGCAGCACGAAAGACGAGTGCTAGCTTTCCTGTAGCAGGAAATTCCCCTATCAGAGGTCGTAGTCCTTCATAAAAAAAACTCAGGCCTTTGGCTAATACCTAGCGGGTTACTACTGTGGCTAACCTAAAGGCCCGGCCGAAGGCACGCAACCTTTCAACACAGCATATTACAACATTGTAATTAAAGGTTTGGTCACTCTGCAACAACGTGTTGATGATGTTGGATTAAGTTCGAAAAAAAAAATTGATCGACTTTTTTCGTGCGAGTTTTGGATGTTGAACGTTGCACTCGCTCGGATACTTTCGTGCAACACTGCTGCACTGTACAGTACATACCACTACTCAAAATCTTGCAATAGGGTTCAATAATGTCGCAATTTTGTAGAAAACAAGTTTCCAGCGTTAGTTCTTCAAAAGGCAACATAGCTCACGCTAGAAACTGCATAATGCTAAGAAAAATCTATAGCGTAGCTATTAACTGTATTCTAACTGTCTTGCATCCTGAAATCTGCTTCTTGCACGATTTTAAAAGTTGTACGTAGAATGCAATTTCATCCACACGTGCTGTCCGCCTGTAATAGGAGGGTATTTGGCTGACCCGTCCAAGCACTCAATCAAGGCATCTTGGTCTGCCCGAAGGAAGTAAGCAATTGAACGGCGAGGCTTCAGGTAAGTGATCTCTTTCTCGGATACCACAACTCGATGGCGCTAAAATATAACCAATAATTTTGTATTTATTACTTAGGGCGGAGAAGTAGGCAAATAATAATTCACCTCAAATTTGCACAACTTTGGTTCCTATTCTGTTCATCACTCGTTTTCAACTTTCTCTTAATTCCAAAACAAAGACAAGGTATTTTGGTGTGCTGATTACATGTAACAAAAGGAGTCCTCTTTTGAGAAAAAAAAGAAAAGGCAGCCGCTGATACATTTTCTATTTTTACGTAAAATTTCACCACCTAGCTGGGGTAGCCAGACAAAATATAATCCAAGCGTAATTCGAAGACGTTGATCCAATTTCTACTTTTATGTAAAATGCCCACCACCTGGCTAGTGAAGCCAGATAGTATAATTTCATCCCAACAAATTGCGGTTCCACCGATGTACTTCTCGTTTCAATAATGGAAATTAAATACCTTGAACGAAATAAAACTTGCACAAATTAATTCTGATACACCTTGATCATAACCAGGTGCAATAATAACTGTCATCTTACCGCAGAAATCAGCTTGTCTGAGGTCCACCTCTGCATTATGTCAGCGATATTCACGATAATGGAACCTTCTATGGGTGTTGCTGGCATGTACTCTCCCTCTGGTGACAAAACCTACAGCAAGTCGTATCAATTGCAGAAGAATTTTTGAGTCAAATATTAGAACACAAAAAAGATAACAGGCTGGGTCTTCATCCCTTGCCAACTGTCTGTGAATAAAACCCCTTGAATTGTTAATTTGTAGCTCTAAAACTTGTGGGCATGCCACGCAGGCTCATTTGATTTTCTTTAAGAAGAGAGTTAGGTCGTACATTTTTTCTAGTATTTTGACTCGAAGTATTTTCCTCGTCTAAGGGTACCTGTAAGATAGACATTTACTACCACGTATTTTGCAGGTTTGCCAGAGTTTGTTCATATTACTAGAGAGGTTCGAGTTTTTTCAGCGTGCTAAATCACAGCAACATTTGTTTAGCTCACCTCTAAGCCACCACATTGATCCTGAAACAGCAGTGTTAAAGCACCGTAGTCAGTGTGTTCTCCGCACCGTAGCTGGCCTGGTTTTACTTGTTTAGTGTCTTCTAGTTGAGGATAGTAATTGAATCGCATTTGAGTTCCACCTTTGCGAGTGCCAGTGTTTTGAAAAGCGTAATCAAAGGTGTGGGGATCCTAAAAAGAAACGACAAAGATCCACTGACAAGAGCAAGGTCGAAGACTGCTCTTAACGGCTATGCTTATGACACGGTTCATTGAAGAGGGACAAGTGAAAGATGCAAAGAAATACTGTTTAGGTACGGAATCATTATTAATGATGAGATAATTTCCATCAAGATGATAGTCACACGACATAAACACAAACTTCCACTGATTTTCGATTTGAAAGTTTTGTTGAAAATGTTTATGTACTGCACCTTTCAATAACATGCGGACTCAAATTCAAAGCTCAACCGACAAATGCGTTTTTCGCTACCGTCAATCAAATGTTTGGCGGCTCCCCCCAGCTTCCGACTACCGCCGAGCGCGCGGTAATCAAATCGTTGAGCACAGTTCAGACAACGAAACAGTGTTCGGCAGTGGTCGGAAGCTGGGAGGAGCCGCCGAACATTTGATTGACGGTAGCGAAAAACGCATTTGTCGGTTGAGCTTTGATTTTTAGAGTCTGCATGTTATTGAAAGACGCAATAAGGAGGCGATTATCATTACGCCATTGAAGAAACACGGGATTACGATATTACAGATTAGAAGAGGAGTGGGGAGGACAACAAAGTCTCCACTGACGAATCGGTGACCCTGAGTTCTAGGTGATTACAAGTTTACCAAAATATACCTTAAAATGTTTCACATTTTTTGCTCTTTGGGGAAAAGAGACAAAATGAACTAAGCATATATAACATTTTTGAATAAGACACAACTCTCTGCATCTCAGAAGGATATAGCAGCAACAACGGCCACTCTAGTGTAAAGTTAACGTCCTGCTATACGTGCATGTGTGAACAAGAGCCTTACATGTAGCTGCTATGGACGGGTTATTATCATCGGGTGTACCTCGTATTATGGTACAGTATTATGTTAGGAGAGAAGACAGCGGCATATCAATAGTCATTCCCCCAGAAAAAAAAAGACGAATTACTACTGTGTGTTAGCTAAAATAACTTACGTCTAACTGTTTAATGTGTCATAGTTTTCGCTCACCAGATTCAGTCCTATGGCGATAGCATAGAGCACCCTTAAACTCAGTCGATGCGCTTCTCTCTGAAAATTCATCAACAAATCCTTGAACTGTGGAACTTCTGCTGTTGGCCACAACTGAAAAACATAGAACAGGGAACATAAATGAGTTCCAAGTCTCTTTCAAGTGTTTTTCAAGTGCTGAACGCTTAGCTCGACACAACAGCTGATGGAGAACACATTCTCACACAGACGATGTATTCAGTGAAGGGCCGTTTTCGTCAATCATTTCGAAAAGGGTGTAAGGGATGGAGTTATGTTCCTGGAGGATGCCAATTGATTGTCATTTTTAAACTTCAAGTCACTTTTCAAACCTTTAATGTTTGCGGTACTTTCCGCTAGTTATACAAACTTTGATTGTTCAGGTGCTACCTCTCGTTATCAAGCGATGTTACAATAGATGTTACAATACATCGACACTTAAATAAAGTGATTATTATTATTTATTAAATCCATTTTGAAATCACTGGTTATCCTTGCAATCTGATTGGCTCTCAATGGTGCGATTTATTCACAAATCGCACTATTTTTTGCTCTAAATCGCATCTTTTTCTCAGCCAATGAGAATGGGACAGTAAAACAAAACAACAAATCAGATTTCAATATTAGTTTAAAGTAAACAATAAAATTTTAGGAAAATGAAAGGCAAAAAGCCATTGTGTGGAGAATTTAGCAACTAGTATTGCCAAAACTTTGTTGTTATTGTGTTTTTTTTTCCA